AACAGGAGCTCCAGAAGGGAATGATTTCAGATGAATCTGAATTAAATCTCATGGAGCACAATGTCAGTGGACATTTAAAAAGTGATGGCATCAGCATTAGGGCCAAGGAAGTTGCTTTCCTCAGGGTTTGTGTGGTTAAAGCATTTGTAAACAAGCATTTGCTGCCATGTGGGTTCTCTTTTGCTTACTAGCATGCAATCCCATGGATGTCTCTTGTGCAGGACTTCTCTCAGGCTTTTCTCTCCTCACCCACTGTGGCATATTTTCAACAAACTCACTGAAGCCTTTTTTTTTCCCTATTTAGAACTTAGCTGTTTGTCAAATTAATTTAAATCATCTGCAGAATTATAAGTTTCTGGTGAGGCTGGGGAGAGAAGAGAGAAACAAACCAACACATATGTGCCAAGTAATTGCCAAAATGCCATTCCTTTAGTAATCTAACTATAAACAAGGACAGCTAACATCATTAATAGCAGAAGCATCAGGTAATGTAAGCATAGACACAGAGAGTCTCATAAGGTAAACCTTAAAGGTATTGTTTAAAATTGCTAGAATTATCTAACTTTTTTTAAAAGTTCTTTAAAAGAATCATTGATTTGGCATGATTTCTTTCTTAGGATGGACACTCACCACATTTATGACATGAAGACTGTCATGTTTGAAGTGTACATATGAACAGATCCAGGAGAAATCCCAAGTACTGACTGATGAAGGATATAATGATTTGGATGCAACTTACTACGTGACAATTTATTACTGTTAGTTAAGCCTCTCCTGAATTCACCAATGAAGAAAACTCCAGAAATCATAGAATTAGCAAGGTTGGAGGAGACCTCTAAGATCAGCGAGTCCAACCATTAACCTGTAACTGCTGGAACCACTAAACCCTAAACCAGATCCTCCCAGTGTCAGATCCAGATGCCTCTTAAACACTTCCAGGGATGGTGACTCCACCACCTCCCTGGGCAACCTATTCCAGTGCCTGAGCATCCTAATAGGGAAAACATTTTCCCTAACATCTAATCTGACTCTCCCCTGTCTCAGTTTATGACCATTCCCTCTACTCCTCTCCCTGCAGCCATGGCAGGAGAGACATCCCCCACCTCTCTCCAACCCCTGTCAGGTAGCTGTAGAGAGCCATGAGGTCACTCCTGAGCCTCTTCTCAAGGCTGAACAACCCCAACTCCCTCAGCCCTTCCTCATAGGACATGTGTTCTAGGTATTTTCTGCCCTCGTTGCCCTTGGCTGGACTCACTCCAGTGCCTCAGTGGCCTTTTTGCAGTGAGTGGCCCAAAACTGAACATAGGACTCAAGTCTGACCTCCCCATTGCCCAGTGCAGGGGGATGATCACCTTCCT